GGCTACCTTCATTCCCTCCTAATTATCCCCCATCAGCAGCCATGCTATAGCCCTGCTCCATGATTGCTGCTTCTTCCTCTCCCTCACTCACAGACCCCACAATGAAGAGATGCAAAGTTGGGCCCACACTTCCTCATTGTGAAATACCACTTTAGACCTTAGACCATACCATGTTTGGTGGGCCCTAAATGTTTTGTATTTGTCTTCATGAGAATCCATAGCATTTCTTGGATCTGTGGCTTGAAGTCTTCTATCACTTTTGGAAATTTCTCAGCCATAATTGTTTCAGATATTGCTTTAGCTCCATTCTCTTCCTCCTGTCCTTCTGAAACATTGACTACATGTGTACTGGGTATTGTCAGCATTTCCTATATGTCTCATATACACTTCTTTTTGTATATTTCATTCTTTTTTCATTCATGTTTATTATTTTAAGTCTCCAAGTTTGTGGTAATTTGCTACAGCAGCCTTAGGAAATGAATACCCTTATTCTCAGTCGTCCAATCCTGGCATAACCAACCCAAAATCCCCTGTTGTAAATTCCCTCTGTTTGAAATACCTGGTAATGTTTCTCTTTCTCCACTGAAACACAAAATGATATACCACCCCACCACTCTAAACTCTCAGAACCTTGTATTTTGATCCCAAGGGGAATTAGTGAACAGTTCATGTGTAGTTGACACCAATGCATAATTTTTCACCTGTCATACTTAAAACTTGCTAAATGCTAAATATTTTGTGCAATTCATCCTTATGATTTCACTTAATATTACATCTTGGAAATCTTCCTGTATTGGGCCAACCATGTTATTTTACAGCTGAATACTTTTATCAATTGAATATAGTGTAATTCAATTAAATGGTCCCTGAAGGATGGTTTTGCTGTTTTCATTTTTAAAAACACTTACCAAAAAAAATTCCTGCACTAAACTTATATGTAAATCTGAGAGGATTTTTTGTGAGATATCAGTAACATAAGTACCTAGCTTTGGGATTCCTAGATCCAAGGGACTATGTGACTGAAATTCTAATGCATAATACCAACTCTAACTTCTTCTATAAGTGCACCTATCAAGGGGCTATCACCAGAGAATGCTTCATGATATAATAATATTTGGAGAATTATGCCTTTTATGATCCTATTGGCCTAAAAGAACAGCCATCAAGGCAATCATCACTCCTAGTGTTTCTTCACTGGTGAGTCATCTACATTTCTGGGAGTAATGAGATGAAACACAACAAGGAAACCATTGAAGCTAAGCAGCATAGTCAACAATAGTTCTGGGAAATAGGAGTGATCTCAAGGAACAAAATAACTGAACTCACCTGTAGGCAAGTCAGAGGAAGCTCTGCTCAATTACTCAAGAAAACTCTGTCATCTGTGCAAGGAAAGGAGCCATAAGATGGGTGAACCATATCATTGCACTGAAAGAATGTGCAATAAAGCTGGAAATTAAATTGATACTGAAGGAGCTTTTTGATACTTGTATCATTCAGGGTGCATGGAGGAAACAGAAACTACTTTAAGTATCTCCACTAGAAAGGGCTTTACTATAGGAAATTAGACGTCCACAGAATTATTGCAAGAGCTAGCAGAATGGAGTTTGGTGTCTGCTGCTAGACTCAGGCTCAGGGTCAGGCCTCAGCAGATGTAGTCCAGAGATGGGGGAACTGCAGGAAATTCTGGCTGATGTCTCCGTGCCCCTGACCATGAGGTTGGTGACTAGGCAGTGCAAAGTGCTTTTGGCCACTGGAAAAACTGATGCCTGCCAGGGCCTGGAGTTGCTACTAATGCAGGAAAATAAATACACGAAATGTCCCTGCTGCCCTTCACTACCCCTTCTGCCTTTCAAATCTCATGCAACTGCATTACATTGATGTAACTTAAATCAATTCTAGAACCGTGGCATCAAGGGAGTTTTGGAAACGTTCTTTTTAGTCCTCTCAAATATGGGAAGTACTGCAACACAAGAAAGAATGTACAAGGGGATGGAAATGGGTGTTGAGTGTTAATAGATGACATTTGGTGAAGTCCCCAAGCAGGAATTTCATTGAGCAATACTTGTGCATGTGACAATCAGGGAGTCATGTAATGCTTATGAGTACTTTACGAATGCTTTGTTAGTGAAAATCACTTATACTTGCTTGTCCAGTATCCTTCCTCCATTTGTATATATAATACATGGGATCATGGACTACTGTCAATCTCCCATCCCCTCCCTTAGCCTATGCTGTGGCCACATTGTTTAATTAACTCTATCAATTTCTCCACCCATCCTTCCCTCCCTTCTTCCCTTCCCCCCACTCTCTATCTCTGTCTCTGTATCTCTCATTATTTTTTGGTTCTGGTTCTTCCTGAAGTTCTATCTTCTCTCAATTTTATATGTCATTCCATAGCCTTTAAAAATATTTATTTTGCTTATGTTAACAAAAGGCAGTTTCTGTTTCTAGCAACCAGATAGCCACTGGTAAGAATTTCTATCTCCTTCTTACCTATCAAAAGTCAAGCAAGGGGGCCAGCCCCGTGGCTGAGTGGTTAGGTTAGTGTGCTCTGCTGCAAGTGGACCAGTGTTTCATCAGTCGGATCCTGGGCGCGGACATGGCGCCGCTCATCCAGCCACATTGAGGCGGCATCCCACATGCCACAACTGGAAGGACCCACAACTAAGAATATACAACTATGTACCAGGGGGCTTTGGGGAGAAAAAGGAAAAAATAAAATCTTTAAAAAAAAAAAGTCAAGCAAGTTGTGATATATATGTCCTGGGTTTTGCAGAGGAGTACTAATGACATATGATCTTATTCTCTTCAAATAAAAATGATTGTTAGATTTCTAACTAGTTTGCTTTGTTTATATCTCATAAAACTTTTCCAAGAATGATACCACAAATCAGAAAATATGGCGTCCTGAGCTTCATGTCACTTTGGACATATGAATAGGTAAGGCATAGGTATGCAGGGCCACAAGCTAGGCAGCTGATGACCGTATCAGCTGCTGAAGGCCCAGGCAGGGAAGAGAAATTTGATGAAGCAGCACTCTCAATAAACATTAATAATCCAATGAAGATCTGATATTAGCCCGAATCTGGAAATGAGCTATAGCAGAAGTAGCTCCTGCCTTCTACACTTTCTGTAATTTCTTTCCAGGCCTTCTTAGGAGAGACAGACTTATGCCTATGACATCTTCTGACCCTCTGAGAAATGACAATAATGCAACAACAAAGTCCCAGATCCATTGATATTTCCACATTCATAACATTTATTTTTCAGAGCTGCTAGGAGTTACCAAATATGAGATAAAGCCTCTGGACAAAATGGCACCAGAAAACCTCTTTGCCCTTCCTGATTATGTGCTGATAGTAGGGGACCTGTGGATGGCCACTTTCTCACTGTGCTAACATGTTCTTCCCTCTGTGTGAGCGCATTCCTGATGTCTCCCTGTGATTCCAAATTTCCTCCTCTTACAAGAACCCCAGTCAGACAGGATTAGGGCTCCACCTTAATGGCCTCATGTAACTTAATCACCACTTTAAAGTCCTTGTCTCCAAATACAATCACCTTCCGAGGTGCTAAGTGTTAGGGCTTCCACATATGAATTTTGGGAGGATACAATTAAGCCCATAATGGTAACAAGGATTCAAAGAAGCCCAACTTTTGGTACAACTTACTTAAGGTCTCTGAACCTCAGTTTATTCATCTGTGAAGTGGGTATAGAACAACACAACTCCTGGGGCTATTGGTAGTATGAAAAGGGATGAGCCGTGTAGAATGTCTAGCCTGTGCCTGGGACATGTGAAGTGTGTGCATTAAAGCCTTATGCCCCTGAGTCAGGCAGTCATTTTGGTTACCGTTTAACTCAGCTGCTGGGATGCTCATTCAACAGCACCATCTTCCTCTGATTTTACCTTCTTGATCATGAAGCCTAAGTTGTTACCCAAAGCCAGTGCATTTCAGAGCCAGGATTTCCATCTAGGCCTGTGTGATTCCAGGCTCATTCTGCCTTTCTGCATGGACGGGGGCTGAAGGGGTAGGGGAGGTGCTAAACTGGAGAGGAGAAGTTACCTGCAGGCCCTGAGCTTCTTTGGATACAGCCTGCCCCTAGAACGTAAAAGCCTCCCCATATTTGCATCTGAATCCCACACCTCTCCTGGATCCTAGAGGAGAGGGCAGTAGATACTGAGCTTCTCAAATCCAGGACTGTTTTCAGTACCAAGCCAAGGGTGGAGTCAGCTGTGGAACTCAGCAGTGTGCCAAAAGCCCCTGTGCCTCACCACCATCGTACAAGCTTCTGAGTTTCATAGGACATGCAGGAGCACAGGTATACAGTATCAAGAGCCAAGACTCCGAACACAAAGAGCCTGCATTTTACTCAAGCTTCTCGATGAATTCATTTATCAGTTACATATCGGTTTTAGCCTCTCTCTGGTGCCTCAGTTTCCTCATGTGAAAGAAATAATACCAACCTCATGGGGGAATTGCTAGGATTCAAAGAGTTAAAATTTAGAAAGCACTTAGAAGATTGCTTGGAATATAGGAAGCACTATATAATTGTTAGCTATTAATAATAAACATAACGTTATTAGCAATATTATTATACTTACTCCATATGAATTCTCACCCCATACGAATTGTGGGCTTCTGGAGGAGAAGGTTAGCATGCCTGAGGCAAAGTCATCCGTTCCGTTCAAAGCCAGGGAACAAGCGGGTAAGGAAGATGACCCAGGATCGGACATCCGCAGGCCTGGTGGACAGGCTGTGCCAGAGACCGAGGCAGGGTGGGAATCCCACTGATCCTGGGGATGGAGGAAAGGGAGGATATTTTCGGGGTCTGCTTCTGAAAGCCATGAAAAGAGTAAGCCGGCCACCCATTAAATGGCCTAAATTCAGACAGGTCCAATAGGGCCCTGGGGAAAGCCGCGCCGCGCCGCCCCCCCCGCCCCGCCACCCCAACGACCCCCCCAACTCCCCCTACCGCCCACCGCCCACCGCCCCGCCACAAACACGCACTTTGTTCCAGAGGCCGCAGGACTGCCTCAGGCGATACACAAACTGGGACCTGGAGGCCCGGGGCAGTACAGTGATCCTGAATCCGTGTTTCAGATCTCAGAAGTGCTCCAGACACCCGTGGGAAACTCCAAAAGTTGGCGATCGGTCCCGCTACCAGTCCTGCACAGCTACGAGTGGCTGCACGGTGGGTGCTCCATAACCGGCTGGAAGCTGAGGATGCAAAGGAAGACAAGAAGATGAAAAGGCAGGCCGCCCTGCTCGCTGTGGCTCGCCAGTCTCCTCAAGGTATCCTGAGGGAGAGGAGGCATATGCCATGGGTGAGTAACCCCGGCCCCCACCGAGGGGCCAGGAGGCCACCCACAATGTCGGGGGCTAATCGGTGTGCGGACTGCCAAGAGGAAGGGCGTTGGCAGCAGGATTGTCCGAACCGTCCCCAGGGAGGGGGGGATCGAAGAAGACCGAGCCGTGGCAGTTTCCCTTGAGCACAGATGAGACGTGATGGGGCTGAGGGACAGCCCCCTTCCCCGCTTGGCTCCGGGAGGCCCCGGTGACCTCGGCAGGAAGGAGGAGAGCAGGCTGAATCCTTGCTCCCTAGTGGAGCCGTGTTCCTGGTGTGGAATGCCCACAAGGGAAACCTTTCTGAAGGAAAGTGTGAACTGAAGGAGGTCTCAGGAAAGGGAGAGACCGGAAGATTTCTGGAGCCCTGGACCTGTGAAACAGGGTCCAAACTGTTGAAGGATTCCTCACTGTGTGTACCAGAATGCCCCGTTCCCCAACCCCTTCTAGGGAGGGACGTGCTCTGTAAGTTAGGGGCCTCCACTCCACAGGCCGGGAACGGGAGAAAACCGAGCTCCAAGCGCCAAAAAGCGGGGGAGGTGAGCTGATGGCCCTCTTGCAGGATACAGCAGCCCCTGAGAAGCGGGAGATTCCCCTACATGATTCAAGCAGGGCTAACTCGGAACTATGGGCCCTGGGACAGGTGGAGTGAGCAGCCGGTGCCACGCCAGGAAAGGTAAAACGGAAGCAGGTAGGTGGCTGGCCCCGGGTAAAACATATGCCCCTTGAAGCCAGAAGCCATAAAGAGGAAGCTTTCCCGGAATCAGTAAGTTTTCAGAACAGGGGAATCTAGCTTTGCTCGAGACCTTAGTGCTCTCAATGCTGTGCGCTCCTGGGGCTATAATAGTAAATGTCTTCTCTTGGTTTCCGGCACCGAGCCCCTAAAAGTCCTGTGATGGCCCATACGAGAGCCACATGGCGCATCTTTGGTTAGGAGAATTACTTTAGGGCTCAGTTCCTGAAACGAGTCCAGAGCCAGAAAGGTGAAGTGGTTTGTCTGGTGTTATTCCTAACAAGCCCCTTTCAACGCCACCTGAACTGGTGTTAACGAGGTGAGTGTTGGAGAAGCCCTAAGGGTGGGGGCTGGGTGCCGGGGAAACCAACGTGCGATTCGATTCGGGCCTTGGAACTTTCAGGCCCGTCCCCGTCCCCGCCGCCGCCCCAGGGGTGGGGGCGGGGGCAAGAGGGGCTGAAGGTCGCGCTGAGTAGCCAAAGGCCAACGGCCAATGACCGTAATCGACTATGCCCAGGCGATGGAGTCTCCGTCAGACTGCGAAAGGACGGTGCTCAGACAGCTGCCGCGTTGGCGAACACGTGGAGGTTCGGGGAGAGTGGCACACCCAGAGAGGCCCCGGGAGCTCCTCCTCCCTGCCACACATGTTTTGCTTTATGCACCTCTTCCCTGTGGCTGTTCAGAAGGGAGGGGTTCTCCCGAGTTGTGTGAGCCGCTCTATCAGAGCCCTCAAACCCAAGGAGGGGGTGGTGGGAACCTGCGGTCGCGCGGCCGGTTTGTCAGGAGCACAGGTCACGACCCGAACTTGCAATTGGCATCGAAAGTGGGGGCGGGGAGAAGGGTAATCCTTCGGGGTGTGATTCTATCCCCAGGAGGACAGAGTCAGATGTGAGCTAAGTATGTTCAGCTTCTTGACCAGTAAGTGATATGCTGTGTCTAAAGGGACGGCTCTGTTTTTTCTTCTTTGGATTCTTTACGTTGGATGCATGGCTATCAGCCTCTGTGATAAACTGTGGCGACCAGAAACGGACGCTTTTGAATGGGGCAAGCTGGACACCATGGAGAATGTTTAGCCCCCATGCTTCAAAGCAGTAGCTCCCATCTGCTTGTTTATCAAGAAAGCAAAAAAATTGGCTATAGACCTACCTATGAGGGTTTGGACTCTTACATCAATTCTCTAGTCTACCAGTGACTGCTGAGGCCTCTGGCTATCCCAAAATAGAATACTGCACTATCAAGTTATGATGCTTGATTCCCTTCAGATTTCTTCAAAATCCTGTCATATCTTAAACTCTGCTGCCCTTTTCCTTGATTCCAATGGGTCTTTAAGCCATGCTTGCCCAGAAGTTACCTCCAGCCACAGAGGTCTCCAAAGTGAATCATGGACGTTAAACATGGGCCAGAGATGCTTAAAGTGTTAGAAGTGGTACAGGTCCCCCAGGAAGTAGCTGGGATCCATGGTAAAGCCCTTCCAAGGACATAACGTGGCAGCTGAAGCTGCAAAAATGGCCACTCCATCAGGAGAGCTTCTCTAGTTACCATTAATTTCCACACTGCCCTCATGTGAACTGACACCTTCTGTGAACTTACTACAGATGATGTGAGGGAAGCTACTACACAGCATTCTCAGTGGTCCCCAATAGTCAAGGGCTGGAAGACAAACAAACGAGGGAAGGTTTATGTCCCCAAATAGCTTTAGTGTTCTCATGCCAACTTAACTCGCAAGGATTCAAACCACTTTGATTTTGGTAACACCGTGACCTCACAGAGACCACCTCTGACCTCATAGAGGCCCCTTCTGTCCTCACTGACAGACAGAGATCTCAGCTGACCTAACAGAGACATCCCCTGACACTTTAGACACTCCCCTTGACCACACAGAGACATCCCATGCCCACACAGAGACTTGTCTGGCCACCCAGAGACCTCCACTGACCTCATAGTGAACCCCTCTTCCCTCAAAGTGAGGTCTCCTGATTTCACAGAGAACTCCCTGAACACACAAAGAACTCCCATGACCTCCAAGAGACCTCTAGTGACATTATAGAGAGCCCCCTCTGACCTCACAGAGACCTGATATCACAGAAGCCAACCATTTCCTCAACAAGATCCCCTACAACACAGTGAGAACTCCACTAATTTCATGGAAACCTCAAGTGACTCTCACCAGATCTAGGATCTCAGGGAAATGAAGAGAGGATGGTGGGTGCACCCGCCCCTCCCCAACTGACTGACAAATCCCATGGGTCTTATTGACTGTTAGCACTCTGGAAGCCCCACTCCATGGAGGGAAAACCCTTCTTTCTATCTACGCATGCACAGCAAAGGTGACTGGCCTCAGAAAGGCCCTTGGGCTTGCTGAGGGACAGGTCCTTGTGGCACTGAAAGTGTGGGGGAGCCCACTGGTGGTGGCCAGGTGCAGCTGCTGGTGAACTGGGATTCCCAACTTCTACAACTGTGTCTCACATCCCCTTCTCCCCTTCTGCTCAGGTCCCACTCCCATCCTTTGAAAATAGTTTTCTGCCCCTCTTTGCCCATCAGGAGCCAGCGGGCAGGGCAAGGCTATCCCTCCTGCATGCTGATCATTCGGGGCCTCATTTATTGTTTGACAGAACAAGGCCTCCCATCAAGAAGGAACTTTTCAACACAGGGAGCAGAAAATGTTTGACAAGTCAACAGGGCTCAGGAATGCTAGCCAAAGGAGTTTGGCCACACTAGGCATGCCACGCCTCCTGCGGAAATATTGGGGAAATTGGCAGGCCTGCCCTTCCAGGGGCAGGCACCTCCCTTCACTCTGGAGTCTCTAAAGCCATGCCCTCCTGCTGCCCAGAGCTCTACTCTTGAGAGAAATCCATGACTAAGGTCCAAGGCAGGTCTTCCCCTGGCCATCTCCCTGGGTGCACTGTGGCAGGGCACAGGGAGAGGTGTATCCTCTGGAGGAGCCTGCTTTGTCTGAAGGAGGCCAGCCATTCCAGCTTCCTGGGATGAGTCTCTGTCTGGGGTCTAGGATGGGGAAAAGAGTCCTGAGACCTGAAAGTACCCTGGCATTTGTCATCAGCCTGGTTGGACCAGGAGTCTGCCAGGCAGCTAGTGTGCCCAAACTGCGTCTCAGCCCTTCCACATTCTGGCACCCCCCAGCCCAGGCCGGGCTCCCGAGGGAGGATGATGAACTTGGCAGCAGCCGGTGCAAGGGCACCAGCAGCGGGGGTGGTGTCCCACAGCCTCCTGGGATGCATTGGGTGGGGTGGCGCCCCCTGTGGTGTGGCATGTGGAGTGGGCTGACTCTGGTCACCTCTGGGGCAGGGATCCACCTCAGCTCAACAGAGGCAAATACAACAAATGACACTTGGAGAGGAGGTCAGGGATCTTCATGCCCCTGCCTCAGGGTAATTCCTCTTGCCCAACGACTCCTATCAGACCCAATCCCAACATACCCAGGTCCAGATTTGAGACCACAGTGGTGAACTTGGAACCTACTTCTTACTTCCCTGTCCAGCCTACTGCGGTGGTGTTCTTGGTGGTTGGGGAAATGGCACTGGCAGTGGCTGCAGTGGTAAAGGCCATGGTGGCAGCTGCTTCCCAGACATCTGGCATCTTGGGGACCCGAGGAGTGCATCGTTGGTGTACCCACACTCTCCCCAGCCCCCCATCTCTCCCATCTGTCCTAGTGACTCTCACCACTCCAGGAGCCCTGCTTTCCTCACTTACAGCCATCTCTTTGACTGCACTTGTTTAAATGACATGACCTTGAAACCTCCCTCCATAAGCTATTCAGATCAAAATCCTCCCTGGAACCTTCTGAGTTGGCTGAATACAGTTCAGCAAAGTCCACAACATTCTCCGAAGTTAGAGGCAAGATTTTCATCTTGAACTTCCTGGGCACACCCCTGGGCTCCTAAGCAGGCTTCATCTGACCTTAATTATGGATTTCAGGCCATCCCCTTCTGTCTTTTTGAATCTTGTCTGCCTACCAGTATTTCATGTTCTGGAGAATATCTTGGGTATTTTCCAGGTGAAACTTCAGTGTTTCCTCATGGCTTTGCTGCCTCAGTTGGCCCAACAGCTTACAGAGGTGGGCCTCCTGGGCCCACGTGACTTCACATATGTTAAGTCACTGTGAACCTGTGAGTGAAAACATCTCACACTAGTTCTGTTCAATGGGTTCTTCCCCAATGTGAGATTTCTGCTTATTGGAGGAGCTAAGAGGCACTTAAAAGACTGCCCATAGACGTTCATTTGTTCTTTTCTCTATGTATGAATTCTAGGCTAATCAGTCAGTCATAGTTCCTGGTTAAAAACCTTCCCCATGTAAGTTACATATGCACAGTGTGTTACTCTCTTGCATGCATTGAGATTTCTTCTTCTTCTGTTCTTTTTTGAGGAAGATTAGCCCTGAGCTAACATCTGCTGCCAATCCTCTTTTTGCTAAGGAAGACTGGCCTTGAGCTAACATCTGTGTCCATCTTCCTCTACTTTATATGTGGGACGTCTGCCATAGAATGGCCTGCCAAGTGGTCCCATGTCTGCACTGGGGATCCAAACTGGTGAAGCCTGGGCCACTGAAGTGGAATGTGTGAACTTAACTGTTGTGACGCTGGAGCAGCCCAGAGATTTCTTCTTTATAACACCTCAACTGTACAGTTGGTTAATTTTGTAACTTCATTGTGTTTCATAGACTAGGTATTTGAGCCGTGTTTATACAACTGTCCTTTTATAAGAATTCAGGTTGTAGCTCTGAGCTCAGGTCACTATCTTTCCTAAATTAAAATTATGCAAAACTTTCTGCTGGGATGGCACTTTCTCCCAACTCAAATTATAGTCCCGTTATTGTGCTTTACTAGCAATCATCCCATTCCCAGGCCTCTAATGTAGGGGACCAGGGTTCAACCCAAGAAACTTACCCTCACTGTACAGTTAGATGGATCCTTCCTGCAGATATCTGGTATAGGTACCATTTCTTGGTTTTAAAGGTTACTTCTCCTGCCTAAAGTAAATTAAAAAATAAATTTCTCAAGAGGCATTAGGGAACCAAAGTGTTGTACAGCATGCAAGGCAAATATTGACCCTTACACAGGGCAAGAATGTGAAATGGAGCAATGCACTAGTGTCTAGAAACATGTTTTAGGGCACTGTCAATTACAAAATGTTTTCAAGATTGAAGAGAAAACTAAGACGGATTTTGCTAAGGTTATGAGAGAAGAAATCATCAAGGGGAAGGGATGAGGGCAAAGTTCACAATATGAAACTTTCAATCCAAAGAGGACATAAACTATGAATAAAAGACATTGATAAATGCTAGGAATAATGACAACATTGAGAATTTTTCGCCACTGGATTCCCATACTTTCCTGAAAAGACCATGGACTTAAGGAAATCTGCAGTTGGCATTACCAAGGTCCTGATCCCTCACTGACTAGGCTTTTCCTCATAGTGAACACACATGCCTGGAGCTTACCCAGCCTCAGGCCTTGTGGGAATCCCCTTTCTTCCCTCCACAACTCTTCTCCTTGCTCCAATGGGAAATTGTGTCTTATTTGCAGAGCTGCCACCCTGTTCATGGGGAAAAGCCACTTGAATTTTGAACTGTCTTTTAGGAACCATACATATTCCTCAAGTAAAGGACAGGATCTCAATGAACAACTAAGTGAGCATTGAAGAAAACCTTGTAAGTCCTTGAGCAGAGCAGGGGAACACCGTGACACCAAGCCAAAAGCATTGAGGAACTCGTGGATGTGCACGAGCAAGCTCACAGAGTAAAGATTCCCAGTGTTTTCAACAAATGAGGAATTAAATGTTTCTAGTTAATCCAGAATAACCTAAATTTATGTTGCCTCGTGGTTTTTTCTACTGTGGCCTCAAACTTTGGGCTTACTGCTTAGAACAGAATAATTACTTAGGAACTGTTTAATCTTATTTTTTAGTTATTAAAAAAAATCCATTGAGTTTTCAGCACTGTTCTGGGTGCTGGCAATAGTGCAGCAACAAAGACTTATATAAAATTGTGGTCAAGAAGACTATATTCTAGTGAAGGGGCAAACTACATGTCATTAAATCAATAAACAGAATTACCTTCTCGTAGTTGTGTTATGAAAGAATAAAAATGAGAGCTGAGGGGAGCATGATACGTGGAAACTTCTCTGGATACTTGTTGAGTAAATAAATCCTTATAGACAGACTCAACAACAGAGAGAAGATGAATGATGTTCTCCAGCATCACATCTCTCTATAGCTTTTGCCAGGATGCGCCCACCAAGGCCTATTCTTCCTGGGTGAAGCCCAGAACCACATCCATGAAGGTCGCTGTTTCCTAAAACATTGTGGACATTCTGGTTCAGACAGGGACATCTCTACCAGAGTCCAGGGGCAGAAAGTTGACATGATAGAGTTGGGGAAATGAGGCTGTAGGTATAGAAAGCTCAAGTCCTCTTTGGGGTTCTAGCCAAACGCTTCCCTGTGCTGATCTGGCATGTGTTATTCTTGCATAACCGCAAACGTATATACAGTCTGTACACAGCCTTAATACATACTAGCTTTATTATTAAGGAATATCACGTGATGTGCAATGTGAGATAAACTGGACATTTCCCAAAAATATGGTAAATCTCAGTTACAGACTGGCGCGTTTAATACAGTTTATTGGTTGTCAACTTAAGAATACATAACTAGATTCTCCTCACCAATTTAAAGTGAATCACAGACTCATCACATAGCAGGCAATATCAATTGCCTGTGACATATAACTGTGATTATGTGTAAACATTTCCCCTATAGGAACCTTACCTTTCTCCTTTGTGAAATGGTTTAACAACCTCTTACAAATGTTGACCGATCCAATGAGCTAATTTGCAAAGCAGTTCTTTTGCATCAAACACTCAATACACATAAGGAATAAGTATGTTATTTTAATGAAGCCATGCTGACCATTCTGCAGAATGGAACAGACTTAGAGAACCCGGATCGGCAGGTACAGCCTCTGTCTCTTATCTGTACACATTCCCTGTGTTCACTACAAGGTAGAAGGACAGATGGTCCAGAAACACAACCCAAGGTTCCCGGATACTTCTATACAGAAGGATGGCCCTAGCCTGCCCCACCTGCAGTGAGGCTTCCATTGTCAATTTTCTCTGGGACCTCCAAGCATCCGTTATCATTTAGTTTAGTCCTATGCATCTGATAACAGGTAACAGCAGCCTCTCAATTGTATATGGTCACTCCAGGAGACCCCAAATGGCCACAGAACCCTCCACCCCATCCCCCACCCTGCCCCTCATCCCCTGCCTGCTGAGCTGTGCTCACCCCACCCCAGCTCTGACCCCCCCAAAGTGAGTCCGACCCACCTGAAGAGTCCACAGCCGCCCCATAGAGACAGCAGACGAGCCTGAGACCAAGTCTGAGAAGTCTGAGCGTGACAGTGGTGCCTGCCATAAGACTTGGACGCCTGTGGCCTCACCCAGGCTGAAGGCCCCACCCCAAAGATTCAGGGCAAGCGCAAATTGCAGCAGCAGACCCACTGCTCCATGGCCTGAGGGCTGAAAGGAGTCGCAGTCACTCCTGCTTACAGCTTTTAGGAAAGCACCGGTGTATCAACCCTTTCCTCCATCATGCCCGTTGCCACGCACATCACTCTGTGCGCTCCTTCACAGCCCTCCCCTCACGCCCCTCCCCACGCCCACCACGCTCTGCGCTGCTTCACGGCCCTCCCCTTCCTCCTTCACGGCCCTCCCCTTCCTCCTTCATGACCCTCCCCTTCCTCCTGGCGCCCTCCACACTCTGACGCTGCAGCCATGCTGCCGGGCTAAAGCGGGTTTAATTAATGGCGCCTGAGGCCAGCTCCTGAGGCAGCTTGAAACCCAGCAAAAGCTCCCTGGCTGATAAAAGCTCAGTGGCTAAAATGGAAATACTGGGACCCGGGTAGGTGGAACTTGCATTTTCAAAGCCACCTTTCCCTCCATCCCCTCCATCTGGTCGGGCTGCTGGAACCCTCACAGTGGAGAACTCCTGGCTGAGGGTTCTACACTTTGGTCATGCCTCATAGAAGAACAGCCCCAGCCATAGTATTAAAAGGAGGAAACATCACAGCGGACAGCTCTAATTCCTGCACTATAGACAGGAAATGCAGAAGCCCAGTAAGTGACCCCCTAAGCCCCTTCTCTGAGGCCCCACTCAGTGGGTCCACAGGACCTCCTTACCCACCATGGGCCTCTTGGCCTAGTTAACACAGGCAACAGGACAAGAAGTTCCCAGTGTTTTTTCCCAAAATGTTAGTGTGGTTTTATCTAGGTCACTGTATTTTGGGGGCTCTTTGTTAGAACAGCTTAACCTACACCTTAGCTAATATACCCTTCCCCAGGTCATCTGACTGATAAATCAGATGGAACTCTTCATTGTTACACAGCATTGACCGTGTTCCAGATGCTTGCCACTTTCAATTTCACTGTTAGGTAGTACTTATTAGAAGTTTTTGGGTAAAAAGTAAAATTCACAAAGCCCAGAGTATGAAGAGTGTGCTGTTAAATGATTCCTCCAGAATCTCCAGATGTTCTTTTTGGATTAAGACAGGCCATCAGAGAATTGCACACCTGGGCTGTCTTGATCTGGTTCCTTTGAGAATTGCTCTGTGGATCTGAGCCTTGGCCCCACGCCATCGGCCCACACTGAGGAGTGCCGCAAACAACCCTGTGAGCCCCACTGCTTCCTTTCCTGGAGGATGTGATTGAGGTTGTGCCTTTGCTGCCCTTTGTGTGGACCCAAGAAAGAAGTTTCTTTCAGACCTTGTACCAGGAATAATTGTGCTTCTCCTGAGCAACTGGCTTGTTTTGTTTTTGTGAACACTCTAAATTGTGTAACTGTCTGTGTCTTTCAAAGCCATCTAAAATCCTTTGGGAACAAGACAGGGTATAAAATAAAGCTATTCAGAGTTTAGACCAAGCTCTCTATTTAATGCATTATATTCCTTTTGGAAAAGTCGCTTCATTTGGCTGACTTTCTTTGCTCATAAGTTAGAGATAATGAGTTCTTCCTGTGAACAGAGTGTAAGTTAATATTTTTAAAGCACTCAGAGTTCCCTCAATGCAAGTCATTATGAAAACTAACACTAATATTTAATTTCTTTACATCTCTGCTATTTTGTAATTCCCTCTCTTTTTATGTCATTCCTGAACTTTGCTTGCTCATTCATTTACTTGGCAAATTTGAGGATGTAACAGTGCACCAAACACCCTGGAAGGACACAGATTAAAAAGTCTGGATTGCGCTTTCCAGGAGCATGAAGAGTTGAGAGTGTGTTATCCACTAAATTAGAGATTTAAATAACAAGAAAAACAATAAATGAATAAGTAAATAAATATCTTACTTATAAAATTCTGTGGTTGCAGTGAAGAAAAGAAATAGGGAACAGTGGGAAAGGATGACAGTTCTTGAGGTGGAGACAACTTTCAAGCAAAGCCGTGGTGAATAAAAAGGAACAACTGTGCTAAGAGCTGGGGAAATACGTCTTAAGGCATGAGAGGGTTTGGCAGGGTGAAGGATCTGAAAACAGACAGTGGCATGACAGTGAGCAAGGACAAAGGAGGAGTTTGGAGAGAAGGTCAGGGACCAGGCCATTTAGGGCCTTAAAGGCCAGAGCATGGGGCCTGTATGTTCTCTTACCTTCCATAGGATGCCTCTTGAAGCACTTTATGGGCCAGAGTGATGTGGTATGTGTTAGGTTTTAAGGAGATAATATTGCTTGTATCTCTAGTGTGAGATAATCTCACGTAATAAGGGAAATGTTGAGGCGAGGTAAGCACTGAGGGTAGGATAGGGGAACACAGAGGGGGCGTCCTCTGGGAGTTCTCAATTTGGTTGTTGAGCAAGACTTCCTGAAGTATATGGTGGCTGAGCTGAGATTGGAGAAATGAGTAAGAGTTCGCCAAGGGAAGGGAAGGAAGGGTGAACTAGACAGTGAGCTACATGACTGAATGTACAGTGATATGTGACAGCACGGTAAGGATGCTGCTGTGTTTAAGCATCAAGTAAAACAGAGTATGAGGGGAGATGAAGCTGGAGAGGAGGCTAAAGATTGGACCATGGAGAAGCTTGAGTGTCTAATACTTTCTTCCCCATTCCATGGCTGGCAGGTGGGAGGGAGCTGGGTCCCACCTTCTAACATTTTTATGAGAATTATTTGTGAAAATAATTGCTGCAACCTCTTAAATAAAAGCTTACTTCCCCCATACTTTCTTTGAAATAAGACCTCTTGGAGTACAGGTGGCCATGAGCAACTCTTCTGCAACCTGAGATGGAGCAGTTGGGAGAAGGTCTTCACCTTTGCCTGTACCTTGTCACCTCCTATCACCACCTGCTCCTTTCCCTGGCTCTTGTCATCTCCAGACCTCTGCAGGGGGAGTTGCTGGTGGGTACCCATCCCAATTCCTAATGAATGTACGTGTGCTTAGTAAAATGCTGACAGATGTGACGTGTTATGATAAATGCTAATGGCATTAGATTTAGAGTCAGGGGCTGGTCCTAGGCCTTCTGCTTAGTAGGTGAGTGACCTGAGCAGGTCACTTGATTCCTGCGAGCTATTTCCTCACATATATATAAAGGGGGATGTATCTACCTCCCTGAGTTGTTGTGAGGATTAAATGAAAAATTGAATATATGCAAAGTGCTTACACAGTGCCTGCTTAGTAAACTATGTGTTATTTTTGTCCATAGTAGGGAAGTAATAATCAAAAGGGGAAGCAGACTCAAAGTTCTTTTCTGAACACTGATCATGGAAGACTAGGAAATGGAGAAGCTACTGAAAAAAAAATAAGGTAATTGACCTTGGCAAAATCA